AATGGTGTCAGAAGGCAAAGTGTTCAGAAAAACAAGATAAATATGTTACCTTAATAGTTTCAAAGAATTCCTCAAGTCCTTTAGCACCTGTTGTTTCTAGACTTGTACATAACTGCGGTAATTTTCCTCTAGTCTTCGGAGCAGTTCCCTGAAAACATCAAACAAAATCTGTCATGTACAATGTACGAGACAGAAAAGTCTATGGAAATAGTGATGTTAGACCTATTTAACATTGATTTCTTTGGGAAAATTATCATACAGTGCTATAAAATGGGTAAATTATTGAGAGATTCTGGGATATACTTTTTTTATTTTCTATGAAATAATGCCTTTACATCGATTGTATTCAAAATTTCTTTCTATCAGATGGCCCAACTCAGCTATCAATATAGCTGCTTTCCAGGGAATGGTCCAACTTGTTTTACAAAATAGTATATACAATAAAATAAGAAACATTAGATATAGTTAGGAATTACAACAAGTGACGATGGACAGACATTGACGACCAATCATATATATGACCAGCTCCACTCTGTCATCTATGATGACAGCGGAGCTATAAATATACTTATAAAGAAGTAATATCTTCCTTTAATTTGTATTAAAATATATTTTGAGTCTTGCAATTGTTCCAAAAATGCAAATTTTTGTCATTTTGTAACTAGATTTTCTTTAAGACCATGATTTCAACAGGGTACGAGTAAAAAATAACCCAAAACGAGGCTATATATTCAAATTCATAATTAAGTAGCACTTTTGAAACAAAATATTGAGATAAAATATTCGCCCTATTTAAAAGGTTGAAATAACTGTGAATGCAAAGTCTTTTTGCTACATCTTGGTTCATATGGAGTTGATGTGAAATATATAACAAGTTTGATTCATTTCAATACAACCTTGTTCATATATGTTCTCCAAATTTAATGCTGATAATGTGATTAAAGTAACCATGCCAGGCAATTGATGAGTCAGTTTGAAAACATGTTGCTCTTATACATGTACTTCTGAGACTTGATGTAAAAGATTTGTCATTTTGCAATGTGTACCAACTTTGAATCAGTAGCTGGAATGTACATTTAGAACTTACCAATAATGTATCATCAAACTCAGGCTTAATAGATCTAAGATGTTTTAAAATTGGAAGTAATGGCAGCACAGCAGAATAGTCATGTTTAGTGATAGACCTCTTGACTGACGAGACATTTCCCTGTCAAACAATAAACAAAATGATTTAGAATTGATGTATGAGAATAGAGACAAAATAATTTTTAAAATTACATTGACTAACAAATTAGTTTTGTATCAATGACAAATTCTGTTTGTAATTGGCTGAATTGACTTTTGATTAAAAAAAAATGTCAAAGAAATTGGCATACATATAAAAGCCATTATGCTGTTTTAGCCTCAATACCAAATTTGAAAATAGTATACGTTAAATAAATATATGGGCGAGGACAATTGTGAACAAACTACGGTCCGATTTAGTATTATCAGTCATAATGTTTTTGTTGAAATAAATTGAATTGTTGTTCATACCATGTTAGAATGATGGGCCAAGCATGTACGAAAAAAGGTCAATGAAATATTTAAATTTTGTGATTGGAGACATTTCATTACATCCGAACTTGAAAACAATTCTAAAAATAAACAATTTTTGTGGAAAAAAAAAACGGTTTAGCTCATTACATATCACCAAATGTTTAACTGAAATCTGAATTTCCACAGACAAACTATCCTGTTATCGTACAGAATAAAAGACAGACATTGCTCAAATTAGTAGTCCCCTTTTCAGGATGCACCTGACCATATAAATAACCAAAGATACAAAACATTCTATACTATTGAAATACAAACCTCACCATCCTGAATAACATAATCAAAGGCCGGCTGAATAATACATCAAATATTTTCCTATGATGCTGTTCTGGAATATGGTAGTCATCAAATGAGCTTCACTCTGTCAAAATAAACACACTTTTA